TTTTTATCTCTGAAAAGGACTTTGATCAAAACATTCTTAAACGTAATTTAAATTCGATTGCTCTAGTAATCACGCTAGGCACGCGTGCCTGAAGGTTACTTTTTCATCCGCCTTTTCCTTTAATTAGGGATGTTAGAATGGTGTGCATATTAATGCTCCCCACCCTCTCCCCCCACCCAATTTCGCTGATAGGGGAGTTTTTAAGAAAAATTCCTAAAGGACCTGGGGAGGGGTCATATCCTATACTTATTATGTTAAAGTAGGAGTGAAAGCAAATTTTTGGCCCCTGTTTGTCTGATGCATGTTGACATTAGCTCTTAAAAGATGAACGGGTAAGGGCACATTCTATTGTTATTTTGCTGCGGGTCAAAAAATGGATCAATGATGAAACCAAAGCGGATTTAATAGCTGTCAATAAAACAATTGATATAATGCCAGCAAGGTGAAGCTATTTAGGGATGTAATTAATGTGCATTACGACAGTCAGGCTGACTTTCCCTCTCGAGTTTCTCGAGTGTTTTTCTTTTTTACGACAGAAAGCAGTGTAAAACTTTGACAATAGTAAGTATACTTAAATTCACTTTGGTTTAAGTTATATATAGCAGATCCAACTCGTTTCAATAACTTTATAACCATTCTTTTGTCTTTTAAAAGCTAGAAGCTCAGTAGATTATGTCATATCGGTCATTGTTAAAACTCTCTTTGTCGTGGTGCTACTATTCGACCTAGAAAAAGTATGTCGGGCAAAGATATTCACCAAAAAATAAATATTTCTTTGTCAGCTGCAATAATGACTGGGATTAAGTTTAGATGATGAAACAAAGGATTATGTCCACAGAAATACAGTAGGTTAAGTAAATTCGTTACACGAGGTCACACAACTCAGGTAATATTCACGGTGAAACTTTGCATATTTGGCGGTTGAACTTAAAAATCATTTCTCGAAAACTTAAATATATTTTCACAAAATAACTACACCACAATTATTATGACATATTGGGCTACAAAATATGAAAGTAGGAGTGAAAGCAAATTTTGGGTGATGTGCCGCTGTTTGTCTCTAACCTCTAAGGGACAAAAGGGCAGAAAATCTGAGACGGGCCAAGCACAACTCACGTCCCCCGCCAGGACTACTACGTTTAACATACACCGTATGAGCAGACTACAAACAAGTAGCTAAGAGAACGATAAGATACGTGAACAATTGAATCACAGAAAAATTGCTTTTGACATGCTTTAACGGTCACCAACTGTGTGTTTAACAAAGCTACTCTTTGAAAAGGACATTTTCATCTCGTGTGTATACCCAATAAGTAAATTCGTTACACGAGGTCACACAACTCAGGTAATATTCACGGTGAAACTTTGCATATTTGGCGGTTGAACTTAAAAATCATTTCTCGAAAACTTAAATATATTTTCACAAAATAACTACACCACAATTATTATGACATATTGGGCTACAAAATATGAAAGTAGGAGTGAAAGCAAATTTTGGGTGATGTGCCGCTGTTTGTCTGATGCATACTGACATTAGCTCTTACAAGATGAACGGGTCAGGGCACATTCTAGTGTTATTTTGCTGGGCTCTTCATTTGATGAAGAAAGTATAAGTTTTTTATTATTGCTGAAGATTGTGAACTTTATATTGAATTCATCGTTCGAATTTTTTCTTTTGGTGAAAAACTCTCAATTTAGAACTTTTTTCTTGTTAGCTCCAAGAATTGTTTGAATGTACTAAAAAAAAAAAGAAATTGAGCAGAACCTTCAAGAAGAGGACATGCGAATATGGTTGATCTCTGTTCAAGAAAATACTCCAATTACCTGAAATATCACGCCAGACACCACTACAGATAGAAAATTGCCAAATTTAGTATTTTCTTTGATGTTGTCTGCCTTGTATGCATAGAAGAAATGTAGAATGCTGTGCAAGTAGACTCCCCCGCCCCTTTCCCAACAACCCACAACTGCCGAATCGGAAATTTCTTAAAAATTTTCCTTAAGGACCGGGGAGGAGCTGATACGGTTTGCTTTCCTACTTTATAATTTTTCCACTTGACCCGGACTAAACAGCTCTGCCCACATTTCACGGATCAGCGCGAAAATGTAACGTGTGCGGTTATTGACGCCATTGCTTAGGGTTAGACAAGGCACAATGTCAATGGATGATAACTTGTGAGCGCTACAATTCGTAACACAATGGTTTCACTTTCACATTCCTGTTTAAGAGTTGAGGGCTGGTTGCGCATGAGCCATTTTTGTTTCTTTACTTGTCTGCTAGATAACATTTTGACGCTTACGTGGAGATCAAAACCAACAGTAGTACTTATTGTATAGATTCTTTTAAAAAGATTTCTACCGTCTGTTCAAAAAGCTTTGTAAAAATCTAATGTTTTGTCCTAATTTTTGAAAAGGACTTTGATCAAAACATTCTTAAACGTAATTTAAATTCGATTGCTGTGGTAATCACGCCAGGCACGCATGCCTGAAGGTTGCCTTTTCATCCACCTTTTCCTTTAATCAGGGATGTTAGAATGGTGTGCATATTAGTGCCCCCCACCCACTTTCGCTGATAGAGGAGTTTTTAAGAAACCACCTACAGGACCGGGGGAGGGGTCATATCTCACACTTAAAGTGTTAAAGTAGGAGTGAAAGCAAATTTTGGGTGACTTGCCGCTGTTTGTCTGATGCATGTTGACATTAGCTCTTAAAAGATGAACGGGTCAGGGCACGTTGTAGTGTTATTTTGTTTTGTACAGAAAACAACATATGTTCTTTATTGCAAATGAAGTATGCATACATCACTAAAAGTTTCCATAACTTTGACAACAGTAAATTTGCTTAAATTCACTGACATGAAAGTGATTAGTGGCAGATACACGTCGCTTCAAGCGAAAAATGAAGAAGCAAACTTCCCAGAATTCTTATTTTGATACGATATTCGATGTTAAGAGATGAGACGATTATCTGGAGGAGAACTGAGGACTTTTTATCAAGAACCCGGTTTCATTTCCACTATTCCTTCATGGCGCATAAACCAGCCGCGAATGTAATCCTGCACTGATTACGGCCACATAAGCCGTGAACAGTAAAAATTTTTCCGAATACTTGCAAGAGAAGCCTTAAGGAATAGAAAATCAGTAATTGTGGCAGTGCTTAATGAAGAAGGCGTAAAAAAGCTGCTTGCCCCGGTAGGAGTCCAGAATGTCGAACAGCGTATATGAGAAATTTTGATAACCACTAATAATCAGTCATAGCGCTTCAAATGTTTGTGCCATTTTTGCGATAGGAAGTGATGGACCGAAAACAACAACAAACTACACTGAACACTTGTTAATATAAAAAATAACTTCCACGTCGCCCTGCTTCTCTTCGGTAAGAAATCACAGATGAAGTTGAAATGTGGTCAGAAAAAAAAAAGTGGCACACGAAGCGCCGTTGAGTGTGTCACTGATGTTCTTACTAGATTTGTGATGCCATCTTAAATCTGTCATTGTTAGGAACCTAAGCAAGTTTTATTACGAATAAATACATTTGTCCTCCAATAGATCGTAAGTAAGAACCAATCACAATGCGTGCGTTTTTTGCCAATGATATATATGTATAAAAAACCTACGGATACCGTTGCTGCTGGTGAAGCTTTAGAAGGAAGTGATTCTAAATTGTTCAACCTTTGATTTCAGACAGTTCAAGTATTCCCGAGGTGTGTCAAACTTCTAGAACGGTATGTATTATGTAAATCACTGATTCCAAAGTGAGTTCTGCACTATCTTAGATACGCAAAATGATTGCAAGATACAACAAATCATGGAGAAGCCTTCGTAGTAAACGCCATATATATCACATATATCAATCCACAATATATAAAATTGAAGTAAAGAATTGACATGATAATTTGTGAGCGTGCCAGGGTGGCCAGAAAAAAAACTTGCTGCCAGAAACCTCTAAGGGATAAAAGGGCAGAAAATCTGAGACGGGCCAAGCACAACTCACGTCCCCCGCCAGGACTACTACGTTTAACATACACCGTATGAGCAGACTACAAACAAGTAGCTAAGAGAACGATAAGATACGTGAACAATTGAATCACAGAAAAATTGCTTTTGACATGCTTTAACGGTCACCAACTGTGTGTTTAACAAAGCTACTCTTTGAAAAGGACATTTTCATCTCGTGTGTATACCCAATATGTCGCCAGGAATTCTCCCGTAAGCGTGGTTGGAGGCGGCACCTGACTTAATATTATGCGTACCGAACTTGAAAACGTCGTTCACGAAAGGTTCTATGTGCTTTTTAAAATCATCCCTTAGCGTGGTTAAAGAAACCTCTTTGCTAGAGTGGAAATATTCGCAAGACTTAGCCTTAACAACACGACGATCTAGCAGATATTCAGTGTCGCTTGACTGCAGTTCGAGCTTAATGGCAACCGGACAAGTAGACTTCGCTGATCTAGTAAGATGGGAAGTATGACCCTCTCGGTATTGGTCATTCTTGTGCTTAGCAACATAAATTTTCATTGAATCGTAATTGATAGCAACGTCTTTAAAACTTAAATTGTTGATTTCGTTAACGCGAAAAAATCCATAAATTCAATCAGCAAAATAAATAAAAAGTGGAGAGACTCTCAGGGAGAGACTTGCTCGCAACATGAGCATTAGTAATTGCTTGCACTTTATCGGCGGACAAAGGCACTTTAGGCTGCACTGGACGGGCTAGCTTCCTTTTAGCTTCTTCGACAGATGACTTTACGAGTGGATGACCAGTGCGGCTTACTTCCTGACGTCTATTTACACCTCGTCAGAAAAAAGGCAGCTAATTAGTGAGCGTATAAAAGGACCACTTATTGCAGTGTTTAGATCACCCTCGATGAAGGAACTAGACAGGAGTGTCGAAACGTTTGGTCTATGAATTGTAACTTCTCGGTTACATTCATTAAATCTTTAAACCAGAGTAGCATCAAACCATGTCTAAAACTCCCTAAGTTAAAGATCACGGCTTTCATGGGAAATCCAACGGACTGGGTTCGATTCGAAAATATGTTCGTCAAGCAAGTTCACAGTCGACCAATTTCGGACGGAGATAAATTTGGCTATTTGTCAGAGAGGGTTCTTCCCAAGGTAAGAGAACAAATCTCCAACCTTAAACCCGGGACACTAGGGTATAGGAGGGCATGGAAAATATTGCAAAGAGAATACGGACAAACTAAGGTTGCTGTAAATTCCCGTATGGACGAAATTATGAATTTATAGCTAGTGAAAGGTACAGCTACGATGAAGTGAGAGAATCCTATGAAAAGTTAAACAAACATTTTGACGCTTTCATACCTTGGGAGAGGCTGGCATATTAAAACAATCTGTGATGACGACGTTGAAGACATTACCTCAAGTTAAACCCGACCTAGTGCGAGTTGACGAGAAATGAGAGGAATAGACCATGAAAGAATTGATTGAAAGTCTGTAAAAATGGCCTCAGAGAAACAAGAAGGACGACTCCCAGCTCTCTGACAGGGGAAACCCACGGACTAAAGAAAGGCAATCGTATTCTAAGACAAGAGGGAGAACATGCGTAAACTTACAGCTCCTTCCTGCCTTTACCTGTGGAGGTGATCACTGGGTGGAGTCCTGCGATGTTTACAATACCTTAGAGAAAAGGGGAAATTTTTTCACGAAAAGAAATTGTGTTACAACTGTGAGCGTGAGGGTCAAGGGGAAAACCACAGCCGGAGTCGCCCATGTTCAAAGTGCAAGTCGAGACACCTCACAAGCCTGTGGGACAAAATATCAGTGAAAGGACAGAGTGAGAGTGTGGTGTTCACCCCATACACCCAGGTTATGAAGATAGATTCTTACCAGCTATCATTCCGCTGAAGTTTTAAGGCGCAACATTGTGGGCATATTTGAACACGGGCTCTGGCAGGAATTTTACATCCTAAGAAGTTGAGTCTGAAGTCCTCACTACACGAAAGGCACCGAATCGTTATCATAAACGGCGTGTGAAGACACTTCATGCCCATATTCAAAGTGAGAAGTCATTCCTTGGACGACCCAACAAGCGAGCAGATAGAAAACAATGGGAATGAGTTGGCGAATTTCACAACCACAAGGAGGCCTACTATCGGGAAGTTGAAATCAAAGTACGAACACGCCCGAGACAAGCTGTTCTACACGACGAGGAATAAAGAGTACCCAGTGCGTGTGATCCTGGGTGATCAAACCTACTGCAAGATATGAACCAAGCCAACGTTCAAGGGACGCCTTGAGGATCCTTCCGTTGCAGGTACGATGTTTGGATGGGTAATACATGATGGAGCAGAGTGCGCCAATGACAAGTGTAGTCTATCGAGGAGGCAAACGAATACGAGAAGCCATACGGTCTAGACTTATTGGGTGTGGAAGAGAGGGCAGAGTATGACCGGTCAGAAGTGCTCAGCAGTTTCAACGAGAGCGTCACAAGGGGAGCGGACGGCAGGTACGAAGTGAGCGTGGCATGGATCTCAGGTAGTTCCTTGCTAAGTTCAAACGAAGAACAGTGCAGAAGACGTTTTTGCAGACTTGAAAGAAAGCTGGCTCAAGACCCCACTTGGAAGGAAGGGTACGAAAAATAGTTAAAGATCAACTAGAGGAAGGCAAAGCGGACACTGCACCTGAAACACTCACTGCCAAACGCACTTTTTACATGCCATACAAACTAGTGGTAAGGGAGACTGCGGGTATAACAAAAGTGAAAATGGTTTTCGATGACGGTGCCGAGCCACACCCTCTGGGAAACAGTAGCAAGGAGTGTATTTACACGTATCCACCACGTCAGCCCTTATACAAAGGGCATTCCTACAGATTGGTGTCAGAGAGAAAGATGGAGATGCCTTTCTGTTCTTGTTCAACACAAACGGTGGAGAAAAACACATCTGAGATTCACTAGAGTCGCCTTTCGGAGGAGAGTCAAGCCTATTATTGTTAGGCGCTACCCTCAACTATCGCTACGATGAACAACGTGAAGAATTTCAAGAAACCATACAAGCCTTAAGAGAAAATACGTACTTAGACAATATGATTAAAACAGAGGAAAAAGAGGTTGAACTGGAAGAATTCAAGAGGCAAGCATCTAGTATTCTGGAGAGTGGGAAGTTTTTTGTCCTCAAGTGGGAATCAGACGTTGAGCACTTAGAAAGTGAAGGTTCAACAAACCCAAGTAAGATCCTTAGGACGGTCTGGAACAAGGGAGCAGACTTGCTGGAGGTGCAAGTACCAGAACCCCGTGTCAACCAGCCATTGAAAAAGAGAGGACTGCTAAGCCACCTGACAAGAATCTACTACCCACCATGGATAATGTCACCGAAAACTGTGAAAGGAAAGCAGATCTACCGATATGCACATCACGAGATTAAAGGTTGAAAAGTGGAAGTTAAAGAGGGAGTGGATCAAATGATCTACCCAATTGAAGCTTGTGAGAGTTCTAAGAAGCATAGCAAAAGGAGCTGGTCAAGTGAAAGCCTTTCACGTTCATGTATTCGCTGACGCCACGAACGTTGCATGTTTAGCGGCAACTATAGACGTAATCGAAGGCACGACAGCAGTGGTTCCAAGGTTTACTCACCTCAGAATCAAGAATCTTAAAACAAGCCATATCTATTGCGAGACTAGAACTAATGAGAAGAAATCAGACATTAAGAATACCCTGTACAAAACGCCAGGCAGAACAACATGGTATAGTTCGAGATGACAATACTCGACATTGAGACGCACTTAAACAACTGACCGTCGACGTACCTCGACAGCGACGCAGGGGAGGAGCAAGTGCTAACCCCAAACGTGTCAATTCGGGGACAGAACGCGCATGCGGTAGAAGAAGTAGACGACAACGACGATGATGGAGTAACCGCATTGCACAAGCCCCTGAATGAGGCAAAACGGTACGTACGGAGCAGATGGAAACACGAATACCTGCATTGTTTATCAGAAAGGCGTCGAGATAAGCGGAAGACAGTCTTAGTACCGGACGTTGATGAAATTGTGCTGATCGCAGGAGATGACAAAAACCGAGGGTATTGGGGCGTGCAGTGGAAATTCAACTAAAAACACTGGGACCTGCGCATGTTGATGCTCCAAAATCTCACAACAATCTGGGTTCTTTACACTGTTCGCTGAGCAAACCAGATGAAGCCAAAGACTACCTTAAGCGTGGACTAAAGATTAGTCTGGAAAAGCTGAGACCTGAGTATGTTAATGTTGCAAGCTCTTTCAACAATTTGGGTTCTTTACACCGTTCGCTGGGCGAAATAGGTAGAGCAAAATACTACCTTAAGCGTGGAATGAAGATTCGTCCGAAAAAGGTGGGACCTGAAAATGTTGATGTTGCAAGCCCTTACAACAATTTAGGTACTTTACATAATGTGCTGGGCAAAACAGATAAGGCAAAAGACTGCTACAAGCGTGCACTGGAGATTAGACCGAAAAAGCCGGGACCTGAGCATGTTGATGCACCGTTTGCTGGGCGAAACAGTTGAAGCAAAAGTCTACCTCAAGCGTGGACTGGAGATTCTTCTGAAAAAGCTGAGACCTGATCATGTTGATGCTGCAAGCCCTATCGACACTTTACATTGTATGCAAAGCGAAAAAGATGATGCAAAAGACCACTATAAGCGGGCCCTAACGATTCAACTGACAAAGCTGAGGCCTGAGCATGTTGATGTCGCAAGCTCTTACAAAAATCTGGGTGCTTTACACAGTGCACAGGGGCGAAATAGATTAAGCAAAAACTGCTATAGGCGTGCACTGGAGACGTGACTGAAAAACCTGGGACGAAAGCATCTTAATGCTGCAAACTTTTACAACAATCTGGGTACTTTGCACGGTGCGCTAGGCGAAACAGATGAAGCAAAAGACTTATAAGCGTGCACTGGAGATTGGAGTGAAAAAGCTGGGACCTAAGAACGTTGATGTTGCAAGCTCTTACAACAATCTGGGTACTTTGCATAGTGTGCTGAGCGAAGCAGATGAAGCAAAAGACTGCTATAAGCGTGCTTTAGAGATTAATACGTAGATTATGTTGAGTAGGTATGTAATATTGGTTACATGCTGGTCCCTTCATGTGCTATTTTTCCATTATGACATACATCTCTTCATACGTGCAGGCATGACTTCGTAACAGGAAGGCCAAAAATTAGTCTATAGTAACTTATGATGGTAAAATAAGAAGCTTGAGTAACTCTTTTGTGTGCTTCAAACTGCGGTATGCTGCATTACTTGATGTATCCACGCTATGTAAGCGTGATCAAATTCTTAGTATATCTACAAATTTTCGTTCTTTTCCTGAAGTTAGCGCTTTCAACATCGATTCTTTTCTTTTAAGAGCAATGCAAGTTTGCATCCTGTAAATAACAGTATCCTTTTAAAGGGAATTTTTTAAGCGAGGAAAAATACCCTGGTTGTTCCTCTGTAACCAGAACTTTTTTTATTTCTAACCGTTCACAATTAAATTTCTTCACAGTGCTTGTGTAACAATCCTGCTATGGAATTCTGTTTCCCAAAACCACATCTAGGTGGCACGGATGATATTGTAGAGGTATGGACTTATCCTAAAAGGGTGTTTATCTATATTTTTCTGTAATTCCTTATTTATCTTGCTGACTCCCATGTTATACTAGTGAGTGGCAGTCATTGTTTCAAGCCTCACCATCTATGTCTGAAGTGCATGTGAAAAGCTACCTCAAAAAATGAAAACAAAACGAAACAACACAACTGGTGTGTCTTGAAACTTTTACTTCAACTTAAATTGAGGATGTTTCAAAGAGGCTGAAATGTTGGTTTAGCGACCCTAAAAGTCAAAAAGCGATCACAAATTATTTCAAAATTATCGGGCATTTGTTTGAAACTATGGGAAGTGTGATAAAATCTAACGCTGATTTTGGTTTCTTATTTTCTTTTTTTGTTAATGGGGTATTTTGAATTACCTCTTTTAATTTTTGGGTATCACATTTAATATTTGACTCAAAACACTCTTGGACTAAATTTTTCCTATTAAAGGTCAGGGATGAGGCAAATCTTTGGAAAAATAAAATAGGTCTAAATCACATCAACGAAGTGAAAGACGAATTAAAAAATTCCGGCAATGAGTTGAGTGCCGTTTCTGTCCCTGGCATGAAGATATATACTGCAAACGGCTTTGAAAAGAAAAGCGAATTCAACGATTCCGGCGGTGAGTTGAATGCCGCTCTTGTCCCTGAGTTGAGTGCCGCTGTTGGCTCTGACGTTAAAAATATCTATTGGAAAATACTCTGAAAAGAAAGGCGAATTCAACAGTTCCGGCGGTGAACTGAGTGCCGCTCTTGACTCTGACGTGAAAATATGTATTGGGAAAGGCGCAATACCGACTGAAGACAGCCAGGAAGTCTTCTACCGCGTGTTCTACGACACAACAAAGCTGTTGCAGGATATCCCCGTTGAACCTGATGAAACACTCATTTCCCCTGTGATTGAATGCGGACCACACGATATCAGACTTTCAAAGCCTTTGGAGATTATAATTCCACATTGCCTCTATATGGGTAAAGCTAAAAAGAAATGGATAACTGTCTACAGAAGCGACCCAGGTAATCGAAAAATCCCTGGGCTAAGTATTTTCAGCTGAATTAAAAGAAAAGACATTTAAGATTTAACATCTCGAGGACTTACACTTTTGTAGGCCTTACATGTTCAGAGTTTGTTCAGGGTATGGAGTTACAAAGAAGATGAGAGCTCTTGGTTCCCATCGCTGTGTTCCGTTTTGTATTCACGAACCTGGTGTCCCACGTTGTTGAGTTTTTTGTTGCTTCTCCTTTACGCTCCCAGATGTTATCTTTCTGAATCTGATTTTCCTCCTTTGGCAAAAACCAAGACCCAAATTTCAATCGACTTAACCTAACCATAATCCTGAGAGGAACCTCGTGGATTTCCATTGCAGAGTAATTCCCACTTATTCATTTTACATATAAATTTTCACCCCCCCCCCTCCCTTCTCTTTCGGGAAAGTAGGACTAATGTTCATTATGCTGTTACTGTACTGATGATTTTGTCATTGATTTTTGATTAAAGATCCCATCAAGTGAGAGAAAATCCCTAACGAATCAAAAAAGAAGAATCTGTCAAGGGCATGGTTCACAGCAAAAGAGGACTCCATTCATATCAAAACCACGAGCTTCTGTTTCTGGTGTGTATTTTGTCGTGGTGGGGCACCGAGGCAGAAAAGAGCCACAGTGTTTGCTAGTAAACCGAATCCCAGACGTGATCTCATTCATATCAGATTTTACATTTACAGTGACAACCAAGATTCTTTGATGGTAAGTAATCGTACAAGTAGAATTTTATTTTGGTTTGAAGACAAGGCATCCACCAAATGCAACCGACTGTGTTAATCTATTGTTTTTAACAGAAGTGTTCTTTTCGATATTATACCCATACACGGTGTATGATGAAAATGAGGCATTTTTACTAATAACTGGCTTGAGCTTCCGCTATTCATGATTAAACATTATATCACATTATATCATGATCATTGGCTTATCTATGTGATTCTTTAAGTAAAGTAGGGGGCATTAATATGCTACACATCTAGTTTGGTTGCGTTACATCAAATCGCCATCTTGGATACAAATCCGGACATGTGATTGGTTATTTTTTATCACGAGATACATAATCCTCCTCTCTGATTGATGTACACCATATTTGCTTCCCTTCATTCATGTATGTTATTCTCATGCTTATGTGCCTGATCATTATATCACTGCGGAGTAAGTTAGCGCCTCAGCTCTGACGTTCTGCGATGAGATGAAAGCACGTTGTACTCGATTAGCTTCTCATTGTTGGAGCTTAACCTACTCTCGTGAAAATGAACCGAAAAGGAGTGTTATTACTCCTCCAGTGCGGATGCAACTTAACTGTAGGCATCTACCCAGCAATTTATGAGTTTGCCAGTGTTAAAATGTGCTGTCACTGAATCATATTCCTTTGTTTGGTAAGAGAGTTGCATTTGCCTAAAAAAAATATTAAAAATAGGATTTCGTCTGAAATTTAACTAGTCACTCTTGTTATTGCACGATGTACCACCCAGCTGATCCATATATTTTGCCTTTACAAGCGAGTGGAGAAGCAAGAGGAAAGGCAGTGTTCTGATTCATGGAAAGGAATGGAGAAACCCTTCAATATGCACAACAACAGCAAAAAGATAACCGTGAAACTTGTGACGGATCCTGAGAAGGGCTGGGAATTAGACGAGACAGCTGGTGAGCAGGTGAGGAAATCAACAAAGGGTTGGGCTCAGTCATGAGTTACAATGAAACATTTTTACCTCTGATAATCTGAACTGAGGCTTTATAGACCCTTAGTAGTTGGTCGACCATCTTCCACTAAATACACATTGCAATAAACAAAAATCTTGTAATTTATGTCTAATAAGTTACTAGGAAGTCCCTCTCTCTATCTCTCCTCAAACAACTTCTTCACCAGCTTCAGCACCAGGCAACAGTGAGATGGGGGGGGGGGGAAGTTGTAGCAAAAGTAGAAAACATTAAAAAGAAGTAGAGTGTGCCAAAACTTTTGCCCCCCCCCCCCACTATAGTTACTTTGCTTAATAACAACTTCTGACTTCTGAGATGTCGATTATGTGGCCTTCTGATTACCTCTGAAAGTAGGTGTCTGATCAATGCACTTTTAACAACCTCTTGCATTTCTATATGAGGCGTTTTACCCCGATTGATGCAATGTATTACTCAATCTGTGATTTGTTGTAGGTGTACATCTGCGATGATTCCCACGGCGGTAGATTCCGCTGTGCAAATACTTGTGATTTTGCAGTAAAACCAATGAAAGGTAGAGAAGTAGAAGAGTTCTCTTGTATCATAACGTTCCAGCAAGAGGGCCATGATGAACATGCAATATACGTAAACCCTGGCTTTTCACTTGTGGAGGTAATACTATATGTAGTTGGCACGATCTTATTTCGCATTAAGCCAGTGAGACAGGTTACAGTTTTCTTTGAAAAAACCGAGAAAGAAAAAAGTAAAACTAACAAGAAAGTACAAAACACAAAATCAAACCAAATCTGACGTAGCTTTCGGCTCAACTTTTTCCTATTAAGTTACAATCACCACTCACTTTCTCAGACCTTATCAGCATAGCCGTAACCAATGAAAGGTCTATCTACTTGAAAATACATAATTTTGCTAATAATAAGCCTCCTACCTCATGTTTTTCCTTCCAGTTATATGCCTCTACGTGTTAAATCAAAACCACTAGCATACCTCGTGACATCACGGCATTGTCTAAAAATGAACTTCCTTTTCAGCCGAGCTTTTAGTTTATTGCTATATTGTAGGTTTAATCAACTGTCATTATTCACGACAAATTGCATTTTCTGTGAAACGCATTGTGTAGTTTGAACTATGTGAATTCTAATTATCATTGTTGATAAATTATAATTATTATTATTACCAACTTAACTTTATATTCTTCAATAAGCTTCCCCGGTTTAATTGACATCGACAAAATAACCACAAAATCTAGTGAAGATAATACATATCACCGAGGTAGAAAGCTTCATATAACCATGCAAAGTAAAGCTGTCGAGTTCCAGGCCTAAAACTTTTACTTTTCTTTTCCTTTAAAAGTACCTCACTCACACTTAATTTCGAATTTTTCGTAATTGTAAAAAAATGGCAAAATTAAGGAATTAATCAATTTTAATTTTAATTAAATTTATAAAAAAAAACAATAAACACATGAAGAGCAACACACACGCGACATTTATCAACAATTACGCAAATTGTCAACTAGTTTTACTATTTCTTGCAATGCATGTTGTATAATGTTTCTTGTGTAATGTTAATGTTAATGATCTTCATATGAATCGCAAAATTCATACAAATTCCTGATATCTATCATACAGTCCTCAAAATTGCTCTTAACTCGTTTCTTGTAGTTCTTATTCACAAGTTTCATGTAACGTTCTAACACTTATTCCAGTTTATCTTGGAATTCTAAAAAGTTGAGACATTTTTAAAATTAAATTGAAGTTGACAACACTTAAATCGTGAAATTAAATGTCCTATTTTCATTTTTTCCTGTTAAAATCAGCAAAACGTATCTCGAAATATTGTCTCGCCGAAATCGCGAAATTAGCTACCCGCAAATGAAGTACGAATAAAACTGTCATTTTAGTCTAAAACGGTTTTTCTTTGTTCTACCGATATCCCTTTTGAATATCAAAATTGTTTAACTCAGTATTCATTGACATGATTTTCCGATATCTGAACGATTTTGCTACTTTCACTTGCTCTCTCCATTTTAGGGGTCGGTCGGGCCGGCAAGTGCTCATACGCACTTCAACAGCGCAGCTGGAGGCTCGACTTCTTCAGATCCAGATGAAGGTGACAGGGGTAACTTAGACGAACAACCAAAAACTTCTCAAGGTATCTTCGTCATCGTCATCACATCTATAGCTACTATCACGAGAAGCTCTCCAGTAGTTAATTCCACCGATTAACACTTCCTACGAATAAGTTTGTCTTTCTCTTGTCGCCGGAGTAGTCAGGCTTTTCTTTCAAGAACTTGTTTTAAGCTTTTAAACTCTCTGTTACGAATAATCGATTGTTTCTCCTTTGTTGGGTGTTTTCGTTTTTTGCATTTTCCCTCAAACTCAGAATTAAAACGTTGTTACTTTCTCCTCACTCGTCCCCCATTTTGTTTTGTTGTGCTTTCGCGAATTACCTGTCAATCATTTTCATTTCAACATTTTGCACTCAATTTCAATTTTCTGCACTGTTTGGTGATAATTCTTGTGTTCTTGGTTGGTCAGCAGGCTGAAATTTTGCATGTATAAAATAATTAAATTGATAAACCGTACTGATTCCATTCAGGAAGTGGCGGTGATGAGGTGAACGCACCGACTCTTGGACGCAGCAAAAGCTCATCTGGATGCTCGAGGTCCTCAACAGCAGAAGAAGGTGACAAGAGCAACTTAGACGAACAACCAAAACCTCGTCAAGGTATCTTAGTCATCTTCATCGCCATCGTCGTAGCTACGCCTACTATTAGAAAAACTGTCCCTTAAATCTTTTAATAATTATAACATCTCCTTCGAATAAGCTTTCTCCCCCACCACACGAACATTTAATTTTCCCCAAATCGACGTCATCTTATAATGATCTATCACTGCGCAGACTCACGGCAACATGGAATATATTTGTTTTGTGTGATAAAAAACCATAATGTTGTTGGTGGTAGCGTACTTCCATTATGACGGTGCAGTGTAAGCACATTAAACACAAAGTATCTCCAAATTCTTTCTTTGATTCAGACTCGAAGCTCCTCAGCAGCTTGCTGAATGATAGAACATATCGAGAGCGAGTATGTAACTGTCTGGACACCAGTAGGCCGGGTGTTGGTGACTATCACGATGTTTGTTCATATTATGGTATTGACAGTTTTCAAGTGACCGCTGTTTACGAAAAGCACAATGACGGACCGTCAAGAGCTCTATTAGAATACCTGGCAGCTTCAAACGAAAATCTAACGGTTGCCGAGTTTGCAAGTGTGGTAAGAGAAATTGCAAAGAGAGGTGACGTTGCCAAGTTCTTAGAAGAATACGATAATCGGTAAAAAAAAAACATTTTAAAGAGGTCAGCGTTATTTTGAAGCAGTTTTTACAGAATTTTGAAGTGTATAAAATTCTTAAAAAGATACCCTAAATAATTGCAGTTTCACAAGAAAACAATTCCACAGCATGGTAAAGATTTAATTGTAATTTTCGGCACGACTTTACGATAATCAGCTTGTAATGAAATTAATTTTAAAGACGCTAAGAACATACCTAGATTCAAGAAAACATGATGACAATGATCACCATTATCAATTGACAAGTATTGTCCAGTACACGGTTTACCTCTAGTGCTGTTAGACCACTGTATCATCTTTTTGGCCTAACATATGTTGCAGCGGAAACAAAGGGACATCATGAGAATTATATGGTAATAGGCTTTGAATAACGAAGATCAGAGGTACTTAGTTTCAACCTAACACCTATCCTACTAAACCCTTGGAATTTTTGACCCTCTTACAAGGATCAAATAAGCAATAAAAGGGGAGAATTAGATATCTTCCACAAAAAAGGAACAATACATTAAGTATCTAATCAACATTCATTTGTATTTGGCAAGTATTCCAAGCAACTTGTTAAACACATTGTATATAATGAATTTGATATTTATAATGCAAATAATGTACTCGATTGATGTTGGCAATGAACAAGTAATACAATAACCGTACGAAATTTCTTGCGTACAGTTTATTGTAAGTAACGTATGCTGTTTCAAAAAAAAACTGTATAAATATATAAACTAGGTATATTGGATTGAATTGCAGCTGCGCTTAGCATGAACAAGGATACTGTAAGGTAACAAGGTTTGAATTAGCAGGAGCTCTAAAGAGTAATAAAGTATTCACGACTTTGTTTTAATGCGTGTGCTTTAAGTAAGTGCGAACAGAGGTAAAGAGGGCATACTACGTTGTAAATAAAAGTTGTCTGAACGTAACTTAGGAGAGTTAGGTTACTAAATAATAGCCTTGTGCTGTATATGTTTTCTTTTTCTTTAAATGCCAAATTAGTTCTATATTCTTTTCTATGACTCGCGTTACACTGATTGAATAAGTTTTCAAATGGTCTTTTTGCACCAAATAAAATGTTATTACAGGAATTTTAGTCTTAAGCATCATATGTAGTCACTGTTAGTGCGCAGGGCATCTGCTTTGTAAACGTTTAGGACGGTAGTTATGTTCATATGATAATGGTTGTCTTGCCACAGGCAGACCAAACTCATATAATATACCATCCCTTACCGGCATCTTTTGGTCAGCTCTGTGTGACTTTGATTTAATAATTTCTAAAGAATATAAGAATGGCACAAAGATAAAGAGAATTCACAACAACGAATTAGAGAGCTTTTGATGTCATCATGCTAAAATTGTTAAGTTATCCAGATCATCATCTACATCAGTCAGAGATTAAGATGGAGTATTCAGCACCAAGGTATACAATGCAGTCGGTCAGTCCTTGATGTTTCATTCATACTGATATTCCTAAGTATCAGCCCTATATACATCATAAGTATGAAATGTTTCTTTGGTTTGTTTGTTATTAAAATAAATTTGGACCACTTCTGATGTCGAACACATATGCAAATCGGTTTGAAATATATAAAGGGGGTAAGTTCCTAAAGAAACTGTGGTGCTGCGTCGGTGAAAGAGTATAAAAGGGTAATTTAGTATTATCAACTGAGTTGATAACACAATTCAGCTACTGTTAAGAATCTCAAAGTTGACGTTTCAAGCGTTCTCCCTTTGTCAGAGTTTGAAATGATAATTATATGTTTGACGAGCCACCACAGGGATTGTTCCCCTTCTTTTCCCATCCCTCCCCCATCCCCCCCATCCCCCTCCCCCCAAAAGGATCCCTCATTCTTTCACGTCACCAA